TCCTCCATCCCTCCATCCTCGGTTTGCTGCACAGCACCCCACACCGTCCGTGTGTCCTGACACAGCACCCCACACCATCCATGTGTCCAGGCACGTCACCCCACACCATCCATGTGTCCGGGCACGTCACCCCACACCGTCCGCGTGTCCTGACACAGCACCCTGCACCGTCCGTGTGTCCTGGCACGGCACCCTGCGCCGCCCGTCTCCCCGTGCCCTTTCCCGGGCTCCCAGGCCACGCTCCGCGCCGCGCGTCCGCCCGGACGTGCCGGCGGCCCCTGCCAAGACGGGGGGCCGGCGCATCCCCCCCGGTCACCCCAACGCGGCGCCGGGCGCCGTCCAGCGCCTGCCCTCCCGCCTCTGTTTGGCAGCGGGCACGCGCCGCGCCTGACACGTGTTCCCGGCGAGCGAGCGCGGAGATTAGCGCGGGCCCCGGGGACGGAGGGCGCGGGCAGCGCAGGAAAGTCTGAGTCACGGCTCGGAGCGCCCGGCTGCGGGGTCGGGAGCAGCGGGCGGGCGGGCGGCGCGCAGCCGGCACGGCGGCGAGCGCGGGGACGCAGGTGAGGACGGGCGCGATGGGAGCCCCCGGTGCCGTCCCCGGCGCTCGCGGCTCTTGCGGAGCTTTGCAGCGGGACGGGGGGCAGTCGGGGCGCCCGAGGAGCCGGTGGCGCCGGAGCCGGGATGGAGCGAGAGGTCCGGGGCCTGTTGCGCAGCTGGGCGTGGAGGAGCAAAGGGCCGGGATATGGGACTGGCTCTGGAAGAGCGAGGTGGGGTGGAGCAAGCTCCAATCCATGGCGTGTGGGATGCTCCATGGGATGGAGCAACCCCATTCCATGCGGGATGCTCGGTGGGGTGGAGCAACCCCCCAAACTGTGCAGGATGCTCAATGGGATGGAGCAACCCCCAGCGCATTCCATGCAGGATGCTCCATGGGACAGAGCAACCTCATTCCATGCGGGATGCTTGGTGGGATAGATCAATTCCCAGCCCATTCCATGCGGGATGCTCCATGGGACAGAACAACCCCCAGCCCATTCCATGCGGGATGCTCGGTGGGATGGAGCAACCTCCAGCCCATTCCATGTGGGATGCTCCATGGGATAGAGCAACCCCATTCCATGCGGGATGCTCGTCGGGATGGAACAACGCCCAGCCCATTCCATAGGACAAGGTGGGGAGGGACAGATCCAGCCCGGACCCCTGTGTCCTGAGATGCACTGGGAGGGACTGGGCTTGGCTGGAGCACTGGGATGGGCTAGACTGGTCTGCACGAGGCTGGATTGGGATGGGCTGGGTTCCGTCACGCCAGGTCCGATTGGGATGTCCTAGGCTGGGACAGAGGTGCAGGGCTGGTTCTTGTCCTTCAAGGACGTCCTGCAGCCTGGGAATGGGGTTAGACCCACCGTCTTTAGACCCGCGCCGGGCTGAGCGCGACTAAGACCCCCGAGGGATGGCCGGGAACGTGACGGGGCGCTCGGGCAGCTGCAGGGCGCATGGAGGCGTCGGAAGAGGACGAGGAGGAAAACGAGGCCTTCCTGGAGTGGCTGATGGCGCGGACGGGGCGGGAGGTGCCGCTGCAGGAGCTGGAGGAGCGCTACGAGGTGCTGGAGGAGCTGGGCAGCGGCACCTACGGCCGCGTGGTGCTCGCGGAGCCCCGGGACGGCGGTGAGCGGCTCGGGGCGGGATCTCTTCCCGTGGGATCTGCTCCGGCTGGGCGCGGACGCATCCACGTCCAGCCTACACACCGAGGTTACCATCCCTGCACGCGCTGAG